GTTCCTACAAATTAATGGCTATATCTTGCACTAAATCAAATGTGCTTAGGAGTTTGTAGAGATTTTTGTTTTCTTTTGGGCTAAACAAAAGCAATAAATGCAACTGCCACCGTTTTAAATAATCCAGGAAGCATGTCTGTCAGTTTCCTTTGAAAATTGATGCTTGGCTTGCTCAACAACGAGGCTATTGTCTTAAACCAGATCGGAAACCTCTCCTGTTACATTGCTCTGCAAATCTCGAGTATTAAGATAATAAAACCTGCTCTCCATCAACTCCAAAAGCTCTTGGAGGGAGAGATTTTTGTTAGTTTTGTGGGAACGATGGCCTGTTTGAAAAGTTTAACATTTTTATAATCTATGATTATATGATTGGATTTTCCAAGTTGACTCGTCACCTCGATCCAAATTAGAACCTTCTTGAGATACGATCCATGGTCAGAACTTAGCTCTGGTTCATAAGAAAAAAAAAATGGTACATGTTCCATGTCGAGGGATGCGTTTCTCAAAAGTAAGAAGAAAATGTCGAGGGAGGTGAGAGCACGTAAACGACATGTAGTCTGGAATCTAATGATTCGTCGTCGGCTGCAAACATGGAAGTTCTCTTCTTTGAAAGAAACGACATGTAGCCCAATGATAAAAGAATAATAAAGCGCATTTCATACAAGATGAGCGATACGTCGTCTAACAACGATATAGCCCAACTGCTACCATAACAGGAAACCCCACGTGTCAGGTCACAACTGCAATTGCACAAGGATAGCCGAACACATGAATATACTTCAAACTTGGCTTTGGTAGTCATTAAATTTGTCTCATTTTTTACTCAAGTCAAACGAGAGAAAGTCTCTAGAAAAAACATTTTTCATAACTGCTACATGCATTATTTATGGCTTCCTTGTGTGTTCCTGCGTGGAATTTTTTATTTATTTATAGAAATTCAATGCACCGATATCTTTGTTATTTTATTAAAAATAAATCATAAACACCTAAATTTTTTAGTTAAAAGGTAAAAGAAAAGGTGATAATTTATATATAGATAAAGTTTGTATTTATATATGATATTTTTAAACTTCTATCTTATTTCTAGATCAATACTTTTAAACATTACTATAAATCAAGCTTAAATGAATATAAATCTAATGAGATATTAAATTTAACATTTTTAAATTTACTAGTATGTCAAACCCAAATGAATAGAGGTCTCTAGACCTGCTATTCTTAGACTAGACACCATGTTAGGTCCAAATAAATATAAATCTAACCAGTTGTCAAATCTAATATCTTTAAAATTGATTGTTCATTGTCATATCTATTAACCTTGAACTTGATAGTGTGCCAAAAATAAAGAGGTGTAAATCATTATAGGTTTTATATTGGATCATAAAATTTTATTTGTTTATTTTTATAACTTTTAAAATAAAATGCCAATATTACAAATATTCTTCTTTCATCCCTCATTAATGTTAATTTCATGGATATTTTATCTCACATTAAAATTAATACCAAAGATATAACCCTAATAAGTGTTATAAAGGTATAAAAACTTCCTAAAACCTTAAGAGAAATCTTTTTTTACAAGTTCCAAGAGTATAATATTTTCAGAATTACAGAGGTAAATAATTTATAATTTTTTTATTACAAAAATACGTTTTAATTTAAGAGTATTTATCATATTAAAACTAAAAACTTTTATTTATAACAATAAATATTTATTCTCTTATTTATTATAATAATTTATTTAAAATTCACTAACTTTATCCTAAGATTATCCTAAAATCCCTTAAAAAATTTATGTTTTGTGGGTTATAGACTTTCGACATAAAGTTATAAGTTTCATAAAAAATAAACTATATTGTTAAAATTTATAATTGATCCTTAAATTCAATTACTAAAAAAACATATTTTTAATCATTTTATATCTTGTATTTATATAATTGTTTTTTTATTAACATAAATATTTGAATCAGTTCATGCATAATTTAATTAATTCCACAAATTCTAAATTATTATTTAAAAAACTCAAACTTATAAACATTAAAAATCAAACCCAATATATGTATTCATACATTGTATATTCGGTAAGAGTTGGTTTCGGTACCCCATCTCCTCAATCTCACCGGCTTCTTATCCATGACAGAGGAGCAATCGATCAATCCTGATAAGTACTGATATTACAAAACCCACGGTATTGCATTTGACAAAAAAAAAAAAAAAAAAAAAAAAAAAAAAGAACAGAAAAGAAAAGTGAAATTGGTTGCATGTGACCAGGGTTACATGGGAGTCTTTAAAGACCCAGTGACATCCCATGTGGCTAGGCTCGTGTAAGGATAGCAGTTCACGGGTTAAAAAAAAAGATTATTTGAAAATACATTAATAAATTTTAGTTTTTTTAATTTTTAATATTAACATATCAAAATAAAAAAAATACTAAAATAATATTAATTTAATATTTTGTTAAATGAAAAATATTTTAAAAAATACCCAAATAATTGTTAACCGCTACGTAACCGGCCATTCTTTCTTAAACGGAATTTGTTTTGATAAGCTGTAAGGAAAAACAAAGCCGGAAAAATAAAAATAATAAAAATCCTTTCTGAGCGTTATTGGATTAGTGGCATTTATCTTCTAAGAGGAGTCGGTGTACTGATAATTTGATCCAAAAGAAAATAGAAGTAAAAATAATAATAATAATAATCTTAAAGGTTATCATGAATTCACCATCAATGTTTTACTGCAAATTACAAGAACATTGTTATTAAAAATAATTTTTTTCAACAATTATAAATATTTTCGGACCATCCTGAATGTTAATTACAATTATTTTTTTCTTAAATGATATTAGAAATGCAACTCTCTAAAAAGTTTTAAAAAAATCTCGGCTTAGACTATATAAGCTATACAAGGTATTTAATGGTTTGGTTAAAAGCTAAAATTTATTTTTTATTAAATATTTTTTTATGGTTTTTAAATTTTTCTGACATATTAATATAAAAAATAAATTTTAAAAATAAAAAATATTATTTTAATAATTTTTTATATAAAAAGTAGTTTAAAACACAATTTCTACTGCTGAATTCTAAATAAACACATAATATAGCTACAAAAATCCATCAAGATATTTTTAATTCATTGTAATAGAAAAATAAAAAAAAGTGGGCAAGGTAAAATAGAAAAAAAAAAACTACACGTGACTAACAAATTTCAAAAATTATTTTACTGCAATAGGGCATTAGTCAATTTTTAACACAGAACATAGTTTATTTATGTGTCTTTAACTCCATCCCTAATCAAATAACGGTCCTGGAGCTCTAGTTAAACGTGCCACTTCAAAACAAGGAACACTAGAGTAGCCGTTGAAACATTTTTCTGGGTTCAACATTGCTATTTTTCTTTTTCTAATCAATTTCTTCTGTTTTTATTTTTATTTTTATTTTTATTTTTTCCCCTAATCATCATCTGTATGGCACTCTACCCAAAATAAAAAGCAAGAAGCTTTCCCCAGCAAGTTTTTTTTTTTTTTTTTGCCAGACAAAAGGAGCATGTATGGTTGTATCCAAGCACTGGAAGAAAGGTAGGCGATGGTTAGCCCACCAAAAACTTCATTTCATGTCAAAACAATCTGTTGTATTCTTTCCCTTTGACCTCTACCTTTCAGCCCTTTTGAGGATCCTTCACCTTTTGAAAATGCTTCTCTCTTTTTAGTTTTAAAAGACCAACAGCAGCACTGTGTTAGTCTCCATTAGCGCAGAATGTGGTAGCCCTAGCTAGCCACCCTTTCATTGTATGATTGGAAAAATAAAGACAACAGTCAATGAGCATCAAAGAAGGATCGCTTGGATTCATATTTGATAGAATTCCCAGCTTTTACTAAAGTATAATCTCTGCACCTGTTGCGAGTACTTGAACCAGGGGATGAATAGATTGAAATCCAACTGTTATGAATGAAAGAGACACTGTACTTGATTATTTCCGACATCAAAATCATTAAGTAATATCGATGTGGTAGTAATCACACAATAATTTGAATATTTAATATGAGTGGGTCTTGATCTCTTAATTTGTTGTTAATGTACTCATGCTTTGAAAGTTAATTGGCATAAAAGCCACATGAAGCGCAAAGTTTAAATCTTGTTGAAGCTCAAATCCCATGAACTCTTGCTATATATACATCACAAGTCAGGTTCCCTCTTTGTATCTTGTCTCCTTCTCCCTCATAAAGCACCTTTTGCCATCACCTTTAAATTCTTATAAGGTAAAGCCATGAACTGATCATTTGCTTCTTTTCATGCAATGCAAAAAGCCCACCATAGCCAAAAGCTTCAAAGGTGGCATTGCTTTCTAAGACAAGGGACTAGCCAAAAATGACAACCCTATTAAGCACTATCTAACATGGTACTATATATATTATACATAGCACTTATCCATAGGCATGTTCATCATACTTGCTATAGTTACGTGCTACATATTAATACGACAACTACGTATTTTGGCCTTTTGGGGGGCTTGGATAGGTCTGGTTAAAACCCAGATTTGGTTCTTTGGACCACTAGTCTTAGCTCAACTTTTGAAAAGAAAAAACAAGAACCCATTTGCGAGACAAGTCTCTCTCCATACAATGTGGTTCAGTGGCTTGTAAACGCAGTTCATTCTGTAACAATTTAATGTTTTTTGGATGTTTCCTTCGAGTAATGCATTTTTCTTTACTTACTATTCTCAATACTTACTGGTAGTATTTGCCACGCATTTAATGCTACTTCACTAAATTCTCGACGACTGTGGGGTCTAAAGGCACTTGTTTGCCTCTGTGCATGAAGTGAAGTGTCGGTTTGGTTCAACTTTGAAACAGTTCAATTTCATGGAAGTAAGAGTTTCAAGGCACAAGCATTCTAACAGGTACTTAAGTAGCTTTTTCGTTTTCTTAAATATTAAAATCATTATTTTTCCCGCTAATGCCAGGGCTAGAAATAGTAAAGGAAATGGTTTCTGTGGATGGTCAGCAGCTGATACATTTTCTGTATCTAAACATTAATACTGATGCAGCTTCATGTCCATACCTTTACGTCTTTAAGCCAACAAATAAGTAGCTTTCATTCTTAAGTACTACTATGAACACTTTTCTTGCTAATTCTTCGTCTTACATGTAGTCTGATTGTTAAATTGCTGCTACGGTAGAAGCCTAGAAATTGAAGTTATAGTATATTATGGTTTCTGGCAATGGCTAACAGTTGGTAACCTTCACTTCTTGTCACTTAATAATACTATTGGTGCAGCTTCATGCCCATACTTTCTACATTTTTGGTCCGACAGATACCAGCAACTGTTAATTATATGGCTCTTACTGCATTTTTCTTTTTAGTCAGGAAGTGATCATCAAGTCTCACACACTCGTTCATGTTTTTTCATGTTGAGCTACTGATGCACCATGTCTTAGGGGAAAAACGGAAGAACTTCTGCTTCGTTGATGTCTTTTGATATCTATCTTGAACATTTCTGCTCTTTTCATTGTCAGTGATCCATTTCAAACGAAAGTTGTTACTGATAAACAAGAACCAAACAACATCTTTGAAGAGTTTTGTCACCTTAAATCGGTAAGCCTTGACTGCTTGGAAGTTAAAAATAAATTCTCTGCCGTTTGTTTACAAGTATTTCTGCTTCTGTCAAGGTTAACTTTGTTTGGCTGTTAATTTTGTTTCACAGAAGAAAATGAGACAGCTTGAGGATGGCATTGAAGCCAAGGAGAGGCAATCTCTTAACACAGAGGCTCAAAGTTCATTAAAGCAAGAGGTGATTATCTTGACCGAAATCCCTCGCAACCGTGTAAACTATATACAAAGCTTTTAGGATTGCATTGTTAGTACTTGCTCAGGAACCGTCTATTTCTCCTCTGTAAAATTAGTTAGTTTCCAAGGACTCCTCTTCAGACGCTTTGCTCTTAGCTTTATGTCACGCATGTCAAGTTTATACCCGAAATATGGTTGGTCAATCTGTAGAGGAAGCCATGTCCACTTTTGTTTTACAGAATTCACCATTGCACAAGAAACACGCGTCACTGATTCATATTTAAATGTCCACAGCTGAGAATGAAAAGGGAAAACAGAGAAGAGCCTTTGTTATTTGTGATATTTTAGAACGCAACAAGCTTCACTTACTGCAAATTGTTTCCTCTCTTCTCCAGATCCTAGATCTTCAAGACCGCTTGCAGGACCAGGTTCTGGTACGCCGTACATTGGAGAAGGCACTAAACTGTAAGCCTTTTTCCCATGATATCATGACAGATAAGTCAATCCCCAAGGTAAAACTTTAGTTGTGAATCCATAATAGGTTGCATTTTGCTAATGCCTATACACACACACACACCTACTTCTATGCACTATAATCACTGCTTGTTCATTTAAATGCTCTGCCTAGCTGCTTCTAAAAGAAATGTGACTTTCATTTTACTGAAATTGCAGCCTGCTAAGGAACTGATTAAGGAAATTGCAGTTTTGGAACTGGAAGTGGTGTATTTGGAACGATATCTTCTCTCCCTGTACAGAAAAACATTCGAACAACAAGTATCATTTCTGTCAACCAAAGATGAAAGGGACCATGAGAGATTCAAAATGAGTTCAAACACACATAAAGGAATGTTTCGATCAGTTCTTGGAAATGAGAATGATATAATGTCGGATAAGGACCATTCTGCTGATAATGCAAGTCATCTCACTTCACTGACCGAGGAACGCAATGACACTCGGGGACCGGAAAAACTGCTAGATTCCAGCATTCATCGATGTCGCTCCTCAATGTCTCAGCGGTCTATTGGAACTTCTCCAACAACGCGATCAGTAGCCAGAGCAGTAGACTCATGCCATTCTCTCCCACTGTCAATGTTGGAGGTAACTTGGTTGAATTGAACTGTTCCTAACAATTATTCCAGCAAGGTTCCTAAACAACTGAACTTTGGTAAAGACTGGTAATTTTTTGTATTTCTCGGTTCTCTGTCCTTGTCTTTTCAGCTAGCTCGGAATGATACTTCAATTGCAATCAGCCTAGCAGATCATCTTGGAACCTCTATTCGCTATGACGTACCAGAGTCGCCGAACTGGCTTTCCGAGGAGATGATCAGGAGAATCTCGACCATATTTTGTGAACTTGCAGACCCGCCTTTGATCAATCCTGATTATGTTTCCTCCAAAATTTCAATCTCTTCATCACCAAATGAGTTTTCATCACAAGGCCATGGTGATACATGGAGCCCACAGTATGGGAACTATTCATCCTTCAATTCATCACTTGACAACCCTTTCCACGTTGGAGCCTCCAAGGAATTCAGTGGACCATACTGCTCAATGGTCAAGGTCCAACGAATTTGTAGAGATACTCAAAAGCTGAGATATATTCAACATAAGCTACAAGATTTTAGGTGAGTCCAGTGGCCATAGCTGATAGAAGGCACTTCCACCATATGGTCTAATACTATGAGGGTTTAATCCTGTTTCAGGTCACTTGTCTCTCGGCTAGAAGGGGTTAATCCTAGAAAGATGAAACATGATGAAAAGCTAGCTTTTTGGATCAATGTTCACAACGCACTTGTGATGCATGTAAGGTTCTGAAGGTCCAATTATGTTATTGTCAATATTCTACCCTGTTCCTTTTTCTGGTTTTGCTTTTGGTCTATGAGCTAATGCAATCCACTGCATGGTGTTGCCCTACAGGCATATTTAGTATATGGCATTCCGCAGAATAATATGAAAAGGGTGTCCTTAATACTCAAGGTGAGAAAAACTTCTCTGATCATCTTCAAGGAAGTAAGCATGAATAGCATCATTTAAAAGCTGTTGTATGTTTCAGGCAGCATACAACGTTGGGGGTCATACAGTTAGTGTAGACATGATACAGAATTCTATTCTCGGATGTCGGTTGCTCCGTCCAGGACCGGTAAATTTACTTCCCTGAAACTTTCTTTTAACAACATTGCCTGCTAGCACGATTTGGTTTCAGTTTTAACCAAGGCTGCCTCAATAATGATGGTTATAGCAAGCCTGTTTTCCCTTTTGAATTCAATTCCTTTGCAAGTCCCAATCCATTTGTGATTGGAATATTCAAGGAATGTTATCTTTGACTGGAGCTGAGTTGCTTTTATCTGGATGCAGTGGCTGCGACAGCTATTTTCTGCGAAGACAAAATTCAAGAATGGAGATGGAAGGAAAGCTTATTCTATAGATCATCCCGAACCTCGCTTATATTTTGCACTTTGTGCAGGAAGTTATTCTGATCCTGCAGTATGTTCCACTATTCATATCTTGCATGCAAAAAACAAAATACTGTTTTATATCTCTACGGAGCTCAAGACATCAGACCTTTGATAAAATGATTCTTTGCAAAGTAACACAAACATGAAAAAATCACGTCTCTTATAGCTTTCTATACCTTCTTGCGCTCCTTATTGAAGTGATGAATTGCGATTCTTCAGGTTAGAGCGTACACTCCTAAGAGAGTGTATGAGGATCTGGAAGCTGCAAAGGAAGAATACATCCAATCAACATTCATTGTAAATAAAGAAAAGAAACTCCTTCTTTCGAAGATTGTAGAGTCTTTTGCTAAGGATTTGGAACTTTGCCCTGCTGGTCTGGTGGAAATGATAGAGCATTTACTGCCTAATTATTTGAAGAAAAGAATTCAGGAGTGTCAGTACAGAAAATTTGGCAAGAAAATTGAGTGGATTCCTCACAACTTCTCGTTTCGCTATCTCCTGTCCAAGGAATTAGCCTAGTTATCTCATTTCCATCAGTATGGGTGGGATTCCGCGTGCTGGAGCTAAGAAGCAGTGCTATTCTTCAACTTATGCCTGCAATATAATGTGGAATGACAGAATATTCTTAACTAAAATCTATGGCACACAAGGTGGTGCCGAGTTGATTTAGACACCAAATTGAAGCGTCTATCTAAGAAGAATGATGATCAAATGGGCTGAAGATAATGAGCTTTGAATCCATCAAACTGAAGGCCAGATCAGAAAAAGTATACTCTATAGCTTGAGCTTGTATGATCAGCAATCTTCTTAGAGCAGCATTCTTGTGATTTGGCTGTCATTCCACTTTTCTTATCTAGATGATGCAAAGGAAGCGAGAGTTAATAGCATGGTTGTTTCTACTTTGTGTAATATTTATCCATATTGTGTACCTTTTTGAAATAGGAATGTCTCAGCAGAGGTTTTTTTTTTACAAGAAGTATCTTTATACTTTTTCAAATGGCAATTTCACCATCTCTATCCATGCTTATTTTAGTTTATTTTATAATAATTAATTTTTTTCTTAAATGTGAACTCTTAAATTATTGGAGGAAGGGAAATGAGATAACTGGTGGTTGCAATCTTTGTGGGTGTATTTACAGCTTGTTAGAAGTGCAGTAACTTTTATTTTTTGATATTTTTAAAAGTATGTTTGTCTTGAAAAAAACCAAATTATTTTTTTTATTTTTTTCAATGATTTTAATGTGCTGGTATAAAAAAAATTAAAAAAATTATTTTAATAATTTTTAAAATAAAAAATATTTTTTTAAAATATCTTGCATCACAATATCAAACCCGGACTAATTTATCTTTACTTTTTTGTTTATGAATTCAAAGTTCAAATGACTTATTTGGCTGTGGAACTGTTATATTATTGACTTTCTTTTTTAAGCCTTAATTGCATATATTTTGTAGTTAATTGGTTGATTATATGTATGTAGCACTGATTTTATTTATATAAAATCTATTTATTATTAATAAGGATATTTTTTTTTATCTTTAATATTCAATTATGTTTATCTAATGAATTTAGAGTAAATATAAAGTCTGTGGAACAATAATGCTTTGTATAAAAAATTATAAAGTTGTTATAATTATGAAATTTTTATTATATTAAAACATTGTTTCTGCTTAATTAAAAATTTAAATTTTATTTAAAGAATCAATAACTATAGTGTTGAGAATCAAAATAATTTAACAAAGCAGATGTTATAATGTCTAAATCATAACATTTTTTATGAAGAGATAATAATTGCATTAAAAACCTATTAATTGAAATATTTAGTCAAACCACTTATAATTTTTCTAATATCTGAAGGATCATGACAAGTTAGTTAGATATTCTAATTGATCTTCAAATATAAATTAATTAATTGTTAAAATGATAATAACTTAAATTATTTAATTTTTTTAATTATGTTTTATATAGGATTATGACATAGGCCAACTTATTATGAACCTAATGACTTATACATATAAAAAATTAAAACGAAATGATTAATTAAATGTTAGTTGATTGTAAGTAAGTTTTAAAAATTAAAAATTATAATGTAATTAATATAAGAAATTATAATTTTAGACCTAGAAAAAAACTAAGTAGAGATTTGATTCAATAAATTTCTAAAATTATTCTAAAATAATATATGTAATATTATTTGAAGGGAAAATTAATATTTTACTATTTACAGGGTTCTTAGATTTCTCTATAAATATAATGTTATGTCTTTATCTTTTTTTTTTTTCCTTTTCTTTTGTACATAACATTAGATAGATGACAATACATGAGAGTACGATACAAAAATATTTAAAACATTAAAAAAATAAATTAGCATTCAAAGATATAACAATTTCTCTCTTCTATAAGGTTTAAAAAATTTATCGCTAATGATTCATATAGTTTACTATTAAAAATCAAATATATAGATAACTTATAATTTACAATTCAATTTTAAAATAAATATATAAAAAAAATCTCATATTTATATAATCTTTATATAAACCCTAAACAATTTTATACTTATATCATTTGAAACTTAAAAAAAATAAATTTACATTTATTGTTTTTCCCTGTAAGCATTTATGAAAACCCAACATCAACCGCAAATAACTGTCCTTTTTTGGACCAAATTAAAAAAATAAAGAGAGAAAAGTCAAAGATAATGTAACGTTACATGCTAGCTTTATCCGAAGAGGACAAGTTGCCTCCCAACCAGAATGAAGGGAAAAAGTTTCAAAATTCAGGAAATATAGGAGGGTAGGATTCTCCAAAGTCTTGGTCAAAATTACAAATGCACTGCTCCGGGGCTTGCTCTTGTAAAGAATGTTTTTTTTTTTTAAAAAAAGAAAAAAATAATGAAAATAAAATCACTAAAGGATTTTTTTTGGAAAATAAATTAAATAATAACAAAATAAGAACAAAAACCTTGCTCTCATGTCACGTGTGCACGGTGCACCACAGGCCAACCGCAGGGGCACCTTTTCTCTTAGCCACACAACGCCCTTTCTTTCTCTCTTCTCTGAAGCTCCATATCCTTAAGAAATAAATAAATAAATAAAATTATTTGTTCTATTAGAATTATTCAACATAAAATATCAATTCCCTACAAAATAGAACATATTTAAATGGAATTCATAAATATAAATAAATAAATAAATAAATAAATGAACAAGCGGTGGTTAAGAGAAAAGATAATATAATTGTATAAAGCTAAAGATTTAGTGTCTCCATGCAGGATTTTGCCCTCCAAAATATCTACGGCTACAAATACTATAAAAATCTCTTAAACAGCCCAAAATGGCCCAATCGCAACCCTTCTGATTCCCGTCAAAAGCATGTTTGCTTTTGCCTACATTTTTTTAAAAGTTTTTATTCTTTTCTCGATTTAATTTTTTTAATAATTTTAATATTAAAAATAAATCTTAAAAAATAAAAAATATATAATTTTAATATATTTTTAAGATAATACATATACCATCGTGGCCATACAAATCCTATTAAATTCTTGAACATAAAAATAATTATTTGAAATGCGGTGTGAAAATTATATTTTAAAAAAAATTAATTTTTTTAATTTTTAAATCATTTTAATATATTAATTTTTTAAAAATAAAAAAATATTATTTTAATATAAAAAATATTTTAAAAATCAACGACAGCTTTCAAGACGTTCCTTTCCACTTCCAAAAATCTCAAGCAACAAAACCCTTGAAATTAAAAAAAACCTCCACAACACAATACAAACACTCAAAACTCCGAAGTCCATTTCTTTTTGCAATGCCGACAAAACCCAGTTAGAGAGAAACAAAAATGGAAGATGAGGGAATTGAAGCTGTGTTGGCCAAAGCCATAGACTTGAGATTAAAGATCAGTAATTGCATCCACAGAGCAACCACCACCAGCATTACCAGCAACAAAAAGACTCCATCTTTCGAGGAAGAGGAGCTAGAAAGTGGGGGTCTTGGAGAGAAAGGATGGAAGAAAAAGAGTCCAGAGAATTCAAAATTTCTTTATGGGGTTTCATTGAGTGAAGCTGAAGAAGGGGAGGATGACGAGACCGAGAGGCTTTTGCACATCCGTGATGCTTTTGAGTCCCTTGAGAGCCAGCTCTCTAACTTGCAGGTTTCTTTTCTTTTTATATGATTCTAATTTCTATTCTCTTGTTGAAGATAGGGTTTTTGTTTTAAAAACCGAACTTTGGTGGCACTCAGTGTGTTTTTAAGAAAGAATATAGGAGACCCATTTGTTTGTCTTTGATGAGTAATAAATGAGACTTGTAAATTGGGTTTTTGGTTCACTGTGGAGATCGTGCTTCAAGGTTTATGATTGGGAGAGGGAGTGAGTTAGAGGGTTTAGTTTTTAAGGTCGGGTCTGCTTTATTGTTTGTTTTTGGCCTTTTTTAGCCGAATTGCTGTAAGGAACTTGATTCTTGTGATTGTTTGTCTTCAATGATTTTACAAGTTACTTAGCAGTTGGGAGATTTTGTGCTTATGAAAGTAGAGATGTAGCTTTACATATATATATATATATATATATATATATATGTTATCATCATGGATTAATTTATATTTGTACATTTTGGGAAATTTCCATACTTGATCTTACGAATTGTGCTTAACTTAGTGTGCGTTTGAGATTTGCTGTAGAGTATTTTTTTTTAAATAGCTTTTCGCTTGAAATGCATTAATTTTTTTTTTCAGATTTTTTTTAACATTAACATATTAAAATCATCAGAAAACACAAAAATAAAATAGTAATTTAATACTTTTTTAAACTAAAAGCACTTTTGAAAAAGGTGCAAAAGTACAAGCAAAAACTCTCCCAGCACACCCTTAGACTATGCAATTTAATGCAACTAATTGTTTGGGTGGCCTTGTTCTCTTGAATCTATGCTGAGTTCACTTTATCTTGTCCTTAAATCATTTGGGCAAGCACCTATTATTGAAGATTGCGGCAAGCAAAAGATTGCTGTCTGAAAGCTTAGCGTGTTTGTAAGTTGCTATGGTTGTTATATATCGAGCTCTAACTGCAATGATTTCAGTGTTCCTGTATGTTTGTAGTGGATGCCCATAACAACGACAATGAGGTGAACTGGTTTAAGACTGATTTTGTTGGTAGAAATTGTTTTTTGCTACTACTTAATAATTGCTGCCTGATCCTGGCAAGAATTCAGTTTCACGTCTGCTAAGTCATGGATTCTATCTCATTTGATGGAGTAACTTGTAAACATGTGCAGGGTTGTCAATTATGGAAGTATGTGCTCAGAATGTGCTCTATCTCCACAGGGTTTTCCTGTGCATATTATGAACTAGTAAAAGGGCATGCTACTAAAACTTTGATTTTTGAGACCCTTGTCCATGTTGAAGTGGGTGTCAGGCTCGCATGGACAGTGATGTTGTAGAGTACTTGTACTACCTGATAAATCAGTTTTGTGTTTTCTGTTCTGTGAACCTTAAACAATCTTTCATTTCATGAACTGATCATGACATCCTATCAATGTTCACTTCATCATGCTTTGAAGTGCGATATTCCAATCATTGTTGCGCCCTTCGACTTTTCAGTATGCGTGCATCCTTTTCTTTTTTCTTAAATGAAATTTCCTTCCTCATGTGTGCAAGTGTGCGTGCAGATAATGGGTTGGCATGAGGATTAACTGCAGTATAAATAACTTGTGATTAACAGTAAAGAGAATTAGATAGTAGGCTTTTTGAGTTCAAAGTTTCT